CGCCTAGGCTGCACTGTCGAGCGCAGATCCACTGAGCGCTCAACACAGACAGCATCGTCAGAAGGAAAGTTGATAAAATAAATTGAAATTTTTTGTATTGTTCGATACATATGCGTACCGAACCAAAAGCACTGTATCAAACGGTTCAATATCGATACGAGTATCGTTGCACCCCTTATGAATAAAGACAAACTAAATATTTAGAAAAGAGTGCTTTTCAACAACAGTTTGTTCAGTCACATTCAATGTCTTTTGCATACCTGTCAAAAACCTTTAATTAGAAACTGACACAAGTTTAAAAAAAAAAGGAACATAATTTAATTTTTGTTTGATATGTATGAATTTCTTTACTTTTTACTGAATTGAGAAATTGTTTTTAAACTCTTAAGTCTTCTATAATTTCAATGGATGTTAAAAAAGCTCATTAACAACTTGATAGCCAAATGCTGGTTTGTTATGTAATCTTTGTTTCTGGTATTGCAGACAGAATAAAGACCCTCCTTATCTTTCACATATGTTTGACACTGTGTGGAAAAAAAGTAACATGCAGATGCATTAGGCTCTATGCAAAGAGCAGCCACTTTGCATTTACAGGTTGCTTTATTTTCCAGCCAAAATTTGAATGATCTCAATGTGGATGGAGACACAAATATGTGATGAATGGGCTGAACAATAAAACAGCAGGCAGACAGACTCACAGGGAGTTTCACATATTTCGCAGCAGCTTTCAAGATCTGGTTTCCAGCAAATAACAGGTTGCCTGGATAAGCAGTGAAATAACAGCACAGCACTCCGTTTCCAGGAACAAAAACATGGCTACTCACTGTGAAAGACAGGACTGAAGAGAAGAATGTCCCTTCATCATATCTTGAGAGCTTGGAGAGGACACCGTTTAAAACAGCAGCAAACTACAGAGAGGTGGGAGCACAAAAACACTTCTAAGATTAGGTTTCTAGCTGCTTTCTTGAGTCTAGTGAGGAAAGTTATTATCTAATCTTGTTTCAAGATTCTTGGAATATTTTTAGAAGAACAAAAATTAGCTCCCCCTTTCTGTAAAATGAAACTCACATTTCTTTAACAAAAAAAAAGCATGAAATTAATTAATCAAAGGAAAAAAAGTGTCTAAATACCAAAATCTGGAAAAACAAAACAAACAAACAAAAGCTAGGCTGGGTTTTCAAAGAGTATGGTTTGACCCCTCTCCCTACTAAAATATTTTTGAAAAATATACGAAATAATAAAGCCTAAAAGAGTAAAGGTGAGGTTTACCTTTGACACGAGTGATGTAATAATGTCCTTTAATGCCTCGTCAATCAAAACATCAATTTTGGAGTGGTACTGTTGCTGTAGGGATGAGGGTAGGGGGGACAAAAAGTCACATTATTTATTTGTTATTTTCAGGAAACTGACCAGGCACAGACATAATACAGACTACCCCTCTGCTCTGATATACAACAGTATTGTCTGCGCTGCAAAAGAAATAAAAACCTACAACAAATCCTCACACATGCACCCCTTCCCAGGACAGCCTACAAAACCTTCCCATCCGTGTAACGCTGCTGTGTTAAGCAGTTAATAGGGTGCATTATGCAGCTGAATAATATGCCCATCTGTGCTGGAAACCTGACGGAATCTGAAGGATACTTTTTGTGCATCTCCCTACAATTAGAGCAGCCTTGTATTCCTCTAAAGCAGTGCTCTAGCTGAGAGGACCAAAGTCTCACACAAGATTCAATTAATCCACTATTTCATGTCTCGTTTGCCACTCCGTAAAAAATAAAATAAAATAAAATAAA